TTGTGGCAATTAATAGATTTATATAAGTTTAAAAGAATGTCAAATACTAGCTCATGGCATGGTGGTTACAGTTGCTGGACCACTTAAATGGTTTTTGTCCTGGAACTGAAGCCTGGAAAACATGCCAGATGCAGGTGTGTGTGTGTCTATAGGCATGTGTATGTCTATACTTAAAATCCTGAGTGAAGTAATGGAGGAGAGAGAATTGCATATGGCCATCCCACATTGGGGGTGGGGGGAGCGCTCTCTCTTGTTCCCTTGCCAGATAGTGCACATACCATCTATAGGGAAAAAAAAAGCAGACACCAATAAGGTATTTACTTTTATAGCACATCCCCGGCAACAGTAGATTCAAATATGTTAATTCAGGAATGCATTATCCCTAGGCTGTTTGTCATAATTTCTGAGACAGGGTGTTTAATCATCTCATTCTCATCAAGAGATCTCCCTTAATGGATGTCATGGTGCTGGAACCCTGGGAGCAGAAGTTCTTGGCTCTAGTTAGAAACCAGTTCCTACCAATAGAAGAGATGGCCTAAAACACACGGACTGATCACCATGAGTCTCTGGGCTTCTAATGATGTCTAGAAGATCTTCCAAATGACATATAGTTAGTGGGTTCCAGAAATTCTGATACATCGATAGATGGGCCTTCATTGACTTATAGGTAGACTCAGTGATGAAAAGGAGATGTCACTGAACGGGCACTTTTCAGTAATTTCTCTTTCAGTTTGATTGAAGTGCTAGGGGTATTGGTGAGTGAACAATTATATTTTGAAATGATTGACAGGGCATGCTGATAGATGGATGGAATATGTGAAGAACATCAGGGAAATAAGGGTTATGGCAGGCGCATTATTTTAACCCATGGTGTAAGCTGAAATGGAATTTTCTCAGATGGAGAATATTGTGGGAGAAGCACAGTTCAGAATGTGCAAGTTATGGTGCAATAAGCTTGAGCTACCTATAGGGTATCCATGTCTGTTACTCAGTATACATGGGGTATTGGGAGTTAACAGCATGTAGGTGCTATGGAGCTCTTGTGCAAATAGAGAAACTGTTCAAAGTCTGAATGATAGAGTACTGTAGTACTTCTGGAGAGGGTGGTCACATAAAAGACAATCTTATTTCAAGTGCAAGGCATTCTTGACCTGGGGCAAGTGCTAAGAGGTTGATATGAGCATAGTGGATCAACCATTGGATTTAGTGACCTGGAGGTTTCTGGTGATCTTCAGACCACTTTCAGGAGCATGATGGGAGTAAATACCTGTTCACAGAGAATGAGAAGGCAATGAGAGGGTGGGAAATGAGCATTGATTATTCTTTAAACATGATTTGCTATGAGTGGATGAGGATGCAATGGAATATGTCTGTTGGGAGATAATTTTATTTGAAGTTACAAGAATTTTGTTTTTGAGAGGTTTTTGCTATAGGGCGTGTGCGCTCACCAGAAAGCCACCCCAGGGGTGGCTATGCTGCAATCCCTTCTCCTCCATTCTCTGCTTGAGATCTTGGGCATGCATGCACATGCGCCCGGCATGAGTTTAAGTCACTGGGTCCGGGACTCAAACCAGGGTAGACTACATGGGAGTCCAGCAATATAGCCATATAGCCAACTGCTGGTCCCTTGAAGTTACAGGAGTTATTAATACGTTTATTCTAAGATGAGCAATTCCAGAGTATTTTCTTATGTTGACTCATTAGAATAAAAATGAGTATTGATGTAGGAGGAAGAGAAGTATTGACTGTAGGAGACAAGTCTTCATGGATACAAGAGGGAATAGTACCATGTGCTGAATAGAGAAGTCGGCCCTGGTGAATGGCTTAGATATCCTTCCAGTGATACAGAAGGAAAGGTAGAAAAAGTAAGACAGGTGCCAAGGGGTTGATGCTGGAGCTCCTCTCTTAGCTAATGTACTTCCTGGCTTCCAGTGTGCATTCCCCAGCCTCCTTGCCTAAGTACATTTTTCCCTCTCTCTCTTGATGTCTACTACAGCTCACCAAGTATATTATCTTACAAAAAGCAACTTACCCAGAAAAAAAATTGATCAACTTAATTAAAATATGGGCAAATGAGCTAAACAGACAACTTTCTAAAAAAGATGTACAAACAGCCAAAAAGCATATGAAAAAATTCTCAACATCTCTTACTATAAAATCACCTAATGCCAGTCAGATGTCTAAGATTATAAAAATAAAGAATGATAAGTGTTGGTGAGGCTGTGATGAAAGGGAACTATCCTACACTGTTTGTGGGGATGTAAATTGGTCCAGCCACTACAGAGAATAATATGGAGATTCCTCAAAGACCTACAAATAGAACTACCATATGACCCAGCAGTTACACTCCTGGGTATCTACCCAAAGGATAGGAATGCACTCAACTGGAAAAACACTTGCACCTCCATGTTTATTATGGCATTATTCACAATTGCTAAGACATGGAACCAACCCAAATGTCCACAAACAAATGAATGGATTGAGAGGGTGTGGCACATAAACACTATGGACTACTACTCAGCCATAAAAAAAAAAAGATCTTGGCGTCTAATAGAAAATGGACAAATAAGGAAGATTCAATGCTAAGCAAAGCAAACCAGACTATGAAAGAGAGGCATTGTATGTCCCCACTCAATATATACAGAATGTCTGCACTCTGGCAGAAACTGAAAGACTGGATGGTATGAAGGCATGGAAAACAACTGTATATACCAGAAACAGTGTGGGGGAGAGTGAGAAAATGGGGAAGGATGAGAGGAAATTAAGGTGGAAGGAAAGAAGCAAAATATTTAACAGACACAAAAATGGAAAATTATCTGTTGGTGATAATATGTATGGCAATATTTTTGAATACAGCATATTCAGGATGGAAAATGCATTTTATATGCTGTAATGATACACAGTGATTGATTGTAAAATTAAATAATAATAAAAACAATAGCTTTCTGCATAGTGTCAGATGCTATCATAACATTACATTACATATTACATTACATACAGTTTAAGAAAAAGTACAAATCAGACGAGATCGGGTGCATTCAGGGTGGTATGGGGTTGAATATTATATCTCAGAATTTAATCAGGAAAATTGAACCAGAACAGAAGATAAAAGTACACGAGACTGATAGGTTCATGCACCTACCATTTGAACAGAATCCTAACCTGTTTCCTGGCTTTAAGCAAAGTTCCTTGGCATTTCTTTGATTTAAGTTAAAACTGGTTTTCTTAATAGTAATTATGCAGTATATACTGGACTTGTGTCCATGGAAATGTATATATCAGCTGTGTTTGCTATGAAAATATTTAGATTAATTAAGATCTTTAGTAATTCAATACAATGCGGGGGGAAAACAGTATAGAAAGCAAACATAAATGCCAGAGACAGTGTGGGAGGAGAGTGAGAGATGGCAGAGGGTAAGAGATAGGGAATCAAAGATGGGGTAAAAAAAAAGCAAAACATACAGAAAACAAGAAATGGAAAATTATTTGCTGACAATAACATGTATGTTGATGTGCTTGATTGAGACAATATACAGTATACTCTGGATGGAAAATCTCATTTTGCATGCTGTAATTATGTACACTGAATGAATGCAAATAAATAAATTAATAAAAAATTCATTAAAAGATAAAAAAATAAAATTACAATGTAAAATTTAAAAAAAGAAAAAGTACAAATCAAAATAAAAGTGATAAAGAGAAATGATTGTGTTGATTTTCTAAAGTGAGCATGCAATCAGGGTTAGACCCTGGCCCATATAGTCATATCCCACTCTCAGCAGGATGAGGAAGTGTCAGACCTGTTGGTCAGCTCCGATAGAAGGAGCTTCTTTTATTTATTATTATTTTTTTAATTTTAAAAAATTGGAGGGAGGGACTGGCAGGTGGTTAAAGGCACTGGCCTCCCACATAGCCAACCAATGTTCAAGCCCTGGACTTTTAACTTTCTTTCTCACTGCCCCCCACCCCATTTCTTTCTGATCAAACTGAAAAATAATAATAAATAAAGTTAAATTTAAAAATAATAAGAAAAATTATTTTATGTTTTTGCCATAGGGTGAGCATGCTCACCAGTGAGACAGAGACTGTGAGAAGGAAAGTAAGTTTTAGTAACTGTTTGAGGAGCCAGGGGTGGTGTGGAGGTAGAGGCACTGGATTCCACATGGCTGCCAGCTTGGTGGTTTGAATCCCAGACCAAGCTGCCTGAGAATCATGGCAGGTGCAAGCATGCTCAGGATCCATCCAAGAGGAGAGTGGAGCAGAAGGGATTGGGGTGGGGTCATCCACCCTTGGGGTTAACTTATTTCTCACATTCTCTTTTTCTCTTGTGTGGGCACTCTACAGCAGAAAACAAACAAACAAAAACAAAACAAAACAAAACAAAAACGCTAAGATTAGATTTATAAAATGCTGTTTAAAAGAATGAATTTAAGAAGTGAATCATTTTCAGTTACTTTATAATATGAAAATATAAAATCAGAGTACATTTTTGGTTTAAAAACCCTAAAATAATGATACAAGCTTATGAGATTAACCTTAGAATGCCTGTTTTCTCTGGAATTTCTGGTTTTAAAGCTTTCCAGGAGTTCTTATCAGGTCTTACCACAATAATGAACCACTTGGAGGCAAAGATGCAGGCTAGGAGCCATGCACTGGAGGACAAGATGGAGAAGTCCTCCACAGTCACTGCGAATTTCCCCTTGGTTCTGTGGTAGATGGGGACAAACGTGGTCCTGACACTGAAGAACACCACATGCTGCTGAATGTGAGGAACTTAGCATTAAATGTGTCAGGTAGGTTTCTGCCCAGCAAAGCCACGGCGAAACTCCCCAGTGCCAAGGAGCCCAGGTATCCTTGGACACAGGAGAGGGCTGTGAGAGAGTGTTTGTTGCACATGATGAGGAGGTTTCTGGGCTCAGAGTGTGAGTCTGTCAATGAAAAGGGGAGAGGTTCCCTGCCAGACACCCCAGGCAATCACTTGGATCAGGGAGCAAATAGGAATGACGGATTTAGAGGCCCCTGATAGCAGCAGGTGCCTCACAGTTCTTCCAGGCTTCATGGTCCTGAGCGCCAGAATGACGGTAATGGTCTTGGCCAAAACTGGAAACAGCCACAGTGAGCACAAGGCCAAATGTGACTTGTTGGAGGACACAGGTGGCTGTATAGGATGGCCAATGAAGAGCAAAGAGCAGAGGAAGCACAGGAGGAGGGAGATGAGCAGGGTGAAGCTCAGAGCCTGCTTATTGGTCTTGATAATGGGAGTGTCTCAGCGCTTCACAAAGACCCCTAAAACCACAGCTGTGAGGATAAAGAAGCAGACAGCCATGTAGGCTTAGGCTTGGGGAGGCAGTGAGTTCTCTCACTGCTTGGATAATCTTGAACTGGGCAATGAATACACTGCTTTGCATCTGGTAAAAAAGCAAAGACCCAGCACTGCAGCTTCACAAAATGTTTGTCATGTTAAAGAAAATGTTCACCTTTGTGTAATTTTGCACAGATACAGTCCCTGAGGTAATACTAAGACACACCAAATTAAGAGTCCACATTGACACTGGGGGAATTCTTTCAGCTGCAGATGACACCAAACTCATTGAAATTGGACCGCAGAATATGAGGCTCTTGGTTGGCCCATCTTGGGCTCAATAATGTTAGCAAAGATCAGGATTCATTCCAGATCTCTTCTCTACTCTCCTGAGATTTTGTCATGATAAATCTTATATGTCCATGGCTTACAATATTTGTTTAGCCCAATAAAAATTAAAAGTTTTCTTATTTATATTCAGAGAAAAATAACTTTACCTTATTGTCCTGGTCCTATCTTCATCTCTATCCTAATTTCTACTGATTTTCTATTGTATATAACATGTCACTTTGTGTATAGACTTTTCTCGTACATTTTAGTTTTCTGTCAATATTATAAATACTCCTATGTAAATATTGAAACCAGTTTGAATTTAAAACATTTGGATCTTGAATGGAATTTTATTGCTCCTACATAGTTATTTTTTGAAAAACTAGTATCCTTATTATAAAAGGATGTGGTGTAATTTTGGAAATAGCCAACTGAAAGAATGGTTTGTTAATATTTTTTTGTAAGCGCTAGGTAATATTTTTGCCTTTACAAAAGGTCTCTGTTGCACCTACTCACCCCTATTGTATATAGCAGGAAAGCAGTCACAGACCGTATGGAAATTAACAGGCATATGCTGAGATGGTGATGGCGTGCTGTATCTCTTCACTAGCTGCTCACTAATGTTTGTGTCCCCTGGCCCAGATACTGAGAAAGAGAAGTAAGAGGCTGGTCTCTAAGGGGCCATTGTGACCCTCAGGTGTCCTCACTAAGCAGGCCTCGTGATTGGTCTCTCCTGTGCAGTCGTTAAGCTTGTAGTAACAAGGGCACTATGCTCAGGCTTCTGAGACATGCCACTGCCTTCTTCCAAGGGAAGAAGACAGATCCTGCGTAGGGACAACAGTCACGGCATCGACATGGAATCATCTGGTGCTAGTGCCTGAGAAGCCTTGAGGAAACCTCACAGGAGAGCTCCCTGTACCCCCTCAGGACACATAAATCCCAAGCCTCAAGCCATGTTCTTTTTTTTTTTTTTTTTTTTTTGGGGGTTTTTTTTTTGGGG